GGTTCAGAATGCTCTTGATTTTAGGTGAACTATAAATCCCAGCAACTACAACTCCCAAGTGTCAAGGTCTATTTTCCCTTAACTCTATCAGCATTCACATTTGGGTATATTGAGTATGTGTACCAAGTTTGGCACAGATCCATCACTAAGTCCACAGTGATCTCTGGATGTAGGTGAACTACAACTCCAAAACTTAAGGTCCGTGCCCACCAAACCCTTCCAGTATTTTCTGATGTGTGCCAAGATTGGTTCAGTTCCATCATTGGTGGAGTTCAGAATGCTCTTTGAGTATAGGTCAACTATAAATCCCAGCAACTACAACTTCCAAATGACAAAATCAACCCCCTCCCCAACCCCACCAGTACTTAAATACTTGGGTGTATTGAGTATTTGTTCCAGATTTGGTCTGGTGAATGAAAATACATTTTGCATATCAGATATTTACATTACAATTCATAACAGTAGCAAAATTACAGTTGTGAAGTAGCAACAGAAACAGTTTTATGGTTAGCGGTCACCACAACAGGAGGAACTGTCTTCAGGGGTCGCAGCATTAGGAAGGTTGAGAAATGTTGCTCTAGAGTCAAAAGTATGTTGTCTGAATCCTCCTTGTGGGGATGCATCTGGACCACTGTGATCTCAGTTTGTTGCCTGAAAAAAATGGAAAACTAAGCTTTCCAAAACACTACCATCTATTTCTTATTAGAAGTAAGTGCTTCTTGATGTTTCTTTTGAAATAAGTAATAAATTCAGTGTCACCTTGAATCAAATTTCGGGGGGGGGGGGAGTAGGCTAAAAGTACATTTCAGTATAGAATTCTAAGAAGACTCTTTCCTTCTATCGTCATCCCCATGAACTAGGAATATATTGAATAGCAGTAGTGTCCAGATTTTTTGGTAATGTATGGCATTTTTCCTTGTCCTCTTGAGACTGCATTATTATGCATATTAGAATAGCAACACAGACACCTGCTTTTTAACCTCAAGCCGTGACCCTTTGGGGTTGTCATTGTGGCACATTGTGAAAGAGATGTGTGATATGCGTCTTGTATTCCCTGTAGCCTTGTTAACAAGCAGTTTAACAAAAAAAAGTTGTTAAACAATTTGCCCTGCAGAACAGAGTTAAACAGCAGGAGCTAGAAAAGGATGTTTGTGTAACTGACCTTATGAATTGTGACCTCTTCGATCTGGTCAGAGGTGACTGCAGAACAGACTCAGCGAGCTGGAAATCCTAACAGAAGGGCTAGTTTCACACATGGCTTCAACACTTTTCAAAGTGAGAGCTGGGCATTTCATAACTTTTGGGCAAGAGTTCTTGTTCAAAATACTTTCTCTTAAATTAGAATATTTCCGTGTCTTAAATTGCCCTTCAATCCAATCATATTATCATGTCGGAAGTGAATTGAGAGGGTGGTTGTAATGCATTTAAAAAACAAAAAGTTTTAAAAACTTGGCATTATACTAAATGTCCCTTGACCAGTAGCTGGCCACTTGGAGTGACTCTGGTGTTGCTGTAAGAAGGTCCCCCTTTGTGCATGTGGCAGGGCTCAGACTACATTGTGATAGGTGGCCTGTGGTTTGCTCTTCTCCATGCTTGCATGTCATGGATTCAACTTCGTAGCCCCATTTCTTAAGGTTAGCTCTGCTACTTGTGGTGCCAGCGCCATCTGTTCAGCACCTTCCAAGTCGCCCAGTCTTCTGTGTGCCCAGGAGGGAGTCTCTCATTTGATATTAGCCATGGATTAAGGTTCCAGGTTTCATCCTGCCTCTTTTTTGCTCTCGTTTGCTGAGGTGTTCATATACTTAATAATGAAAGATGCTCATTCATATTATTTATTGAATGCGATTTTCCTGCTTCTTGGCAGGGGGTTGGACTGGATGGCCCATGAGGTCTCTTCCAACTTTATAATTCTGATTCTATAAAAACCACCAGCATTTATAGTTGGACAGTATCTTTTTTAGGACACAAAATACCATGAAAATGTCCAAGCTTTCCAGAACATTTTATCAGGTTTGGTAGCATAAAATACTTAAAAAAATGGACGAACGTGTACAAGTTAACAATGAGGCCAGGTACAGAGCCTCAGATGCAATCGCAACATAAAGAATACAGATTGAATTGGTAGGTGCATAAAGATTATTTTTCAAATCATTTTACTTCCATAAATGTCCAATTAAAATTTAATCTTATTGCTTAAATGTTCAAAGAAGTTGCTTATTTATTAAAGCAAAAACAGTCATGTGTTGCCCTGAATTTTAACCACTATAGCCTGGCATCATTTTGGGAAAAATTTCAAGTAAAAGACAATCTGTGAAAACCTATACTACATAATAAAATGATCCAGATACATAGATGGGTAGGGAAGAGTAGGGTGGGGCTCTATATAATAAGGAATCATCTCCTGTAGCATTTTTCCTTCAGGGGAGATATTATATTTGAATGGTGAAGAGAATGTAGCATTTGTTATCATTTCCTCTCTCTTTTTTGTAAACTACTTCAAGAGATATTTTGAGGGGTTTTTTTTAAAAAAAAAAAAACCTGTTCTACTAACATGAAATGAAAGAAGTGAATCTGTTCAAATGTAAGATTGTTCTTGAACCGCAGACAGTTGTCAGACTGCACAGGAAATTCCCACAAGAAAACAAAAGGAAAAAGGTGGGGTTGGAAGTGAGAGAACAATTTGGGGCTATTTGTAGCACACATGAACCACATTTAGTCTTGGCAAGCTTACTGAGTACGGCATTGGTTTTGACTTGCATTCATTGTTTCAGATGTGCAGATTGCTGCCCAGGAAAGCATATTGTGGTTGATATGAAAGAGTTAAACCAAATTCAAGTCAGGACATCCTCCTTACAGATATCTGTGACAGAGGTTTACTTTGCGGGAGGCCTCTGTTGTCAAGGCATGAATCTGTTTCCACACTGACAATCATTTTTAGAAGTTATAATTAATTGTAATGGTAATCTGCAGTGGGGCACATTACAATTTTTAGATCTCTCTGAAATCCAGCATGGTTACTAAATTTGGTGGTGGTTCATTTCAAGATGGCATGTTGGTATCTGAGGTTTACCATGGGAATATTGTTTTAATTGTGGGTGAAATAGTCCTGCACAATATTCATTACTTCATATTGTCTTTTATAATGTGCTAGTTGAGAATACAGGTGGTAGTTTTTGATTATTTTCTGGTTACCAGTCTCCTCTAGTATTGCCAAGGATTCAAAACAGCAGTAAACGAGAGCTGAATTTCATGGCATGTAGGGACGATGGTTGGAAAGTCACTATTATCAAGTTTGTATTTTTTTTTCCAAAATACAGTAGCGCCTTGCTTACCCAACATAAACAGGCCAGCAGATCATTGCATAAGTGAAAATGTTGGATAATAAGGAGGGATGAAGGAAAAGCCTATTAAACGTCAAATTACATTATGATTTCACAAATTAAGCACCAAAACATCATGTTTTGTAACAGATCAATAGAAAAAGCAGTTCAATACATGGCAACATTATGTAGTAATTACTATATTTACCAATTTAGCACCAAAATGTATTGAAACAGCTGTGGGTCCGGGTAGGAGGCAGGCTGCATTGAATAATACAGAACATTGGATAAGCGAAGGTTGGGTAAGCAAGATTCTACTGTATCACATGAAAGTATTGATTGTAGTTGACCTTGCACGTATTTCTCTGCAAAATTAACATACAGTCACATAAATTACATGATTCACACATGGTGTCTGTATTTCTGTATTTCATAATTCATTTTGTATAAAAGGAAAATCCCCTAAACCTCAACTAAGGGCATTCCTCATATAATGGATACTCGCCACTTCTATACAAGATAAGGTTTTTGGTCCTAAAACAAGGGCCACCTTTTGATAAGACATAGCTGGCAGTCCCTGGCTTCTTAATAGTAGTATCTGAACAGGAAAAAAATACTTTACATGAGAGAGGATGTAATTTCACATATACTTAATCATGCTCATCAAAGTCAAACATCCTAGTCTTTTGATAAAGTATAACATTTAGCTCTTCTTTGCTTTTTAACTCAAAGGAATTAGGTACATGTAGCATAACACCACAGTTTTGGTACCAGTCTTTAGGCAGAGTTTAAAGTTTTATATTTAGAGAGTTAACTTGTCCTAAAGGGATCAGTGTGATTTGGGAAACAGAAGAGAAAATGCTATTCAGTGCCACTGATTCATGTGACTCCACTCTTTCTACATCAGGCTAGATAACCATCCATGTCTGCTTCTCTATCCAACCTACATATTTCTTTATTCAATGTTATGTTGATTCCAAAGGATGTCTTTGGAAATTCAGAAATTATTTTGCATATTTTGAAGTCTTGGACAATGTCCCAACAAAAATATTGGCCTTGGGGAGGGGGTCAGTTGACTTTGAGGGAATTAGTTTTGAGGTTAAAGACATGAGGGCTTCTTTTCTCGTGTACCACAAGCCATAACTTTCTCCATCTACATGGAGCCTTGGATTCACCTTTATATTTTTTTGTATTCAGGACTATTGTAAAACATTTAAATCTGAAGCTGATAGTGATTTCTCAGTATTTGTGGCCAATTGTTGCATCTGCCTCTCATATTTTTTTTAAAATGAGTCAGCGTCCAGTTTAGATGTGCATATCTCAGCTGGATAAAAGGGATCAGGGTCACCTTTCCCTTCATGATCACAACATAAGATAGTTTCTTATTATATCTGAAATATGAACTAGTTTAATAATTGGTTTACGAACTGGGATCTTAAACAAATAATCAAAAGCTAAGATGCTAGTTAAGCTAAAATATATTCTTGCTTAGTAGTATTGTTGCTGTGTATGCTTAGGCTGTGTATGTTTATGTTGTAAATAGAAATGGGAAACAAACCCTCTTTGGATTGTTATCATGTGATATGATGTAAATAGTTCACCTAACAAAGGATGTAATATTAATGTTTTTAAATAGAATGTTTTCTTTACAAATCTGTGTTTTTTCTCCTCTCTGCCTAGAGCCTTTAATTGATGAACTGGAACTGAATATCTTGACACTGTCCTGCTGACTTGTGACTGTTGGAAATGGAGCCAAAAGTTGGCAACCTTACATTTGGCTTCCAGCGAAGCTCGGCGTCAGATGATGACTCTGGATGTGCCTTAGAAGAATATTCATGGGTTCCTCCAGGTCTTAGACCAGAACAGGTAAGAGATGCTTGGTTTAGATCTGATTTAAATGCCATTCAGGAAGATGTTTTAGGGATGCTTCATTGTTGGAGCTGCGGGTTAGCTGTTCTCATATGTTATTCTGATATTGATGGCATTTCCAGAACATTACATTGCATACCTCCTTATGCAAGTATTTAACCATTGGCTTAAACAAGAATTATGTTGGGTTGCTGTGAGTTTTCCAGGCTGTATGGCCATGTTCCAGAAGCATTCTCTCCTGATGTTTCGCCCACACCTATGGCAGGCATCCTCAGAAGTTTTGATGTTTTACCATCCTTGTGGGAGGCTTCTCTCATGTCCCCACATGGGGAGCTAGAGCTGACAGAGGGAGCTCATCCACATTCTCTCCAGATTCAAACCTCTGACCCGCTGGCCTTCAGTCCTGCCAGCACAAGGTTTTAACCCATTGCACAACTGGGGCTCCTATATCTAGACATCCCCTGGGCAATGCCCTTGCAAATGGCCAGTTCTCTCACACCAGAAGTGACTTGCAGTTTCTCAACTTGCGCCTGACACAAAAAAATCCTCGGAGGTTGAAAGATCTGTTTGAAACCAGCCAAGTGAGGTTTATATATCTCTGGAATGTCCAGGGTTGGAGAAAGAACTCTTGTCTGCTTAAGGCAAGTGTGAATGTTGGAATTGGCCACCTTGATTAGCATTTAACGGCCTTGTAGCTTCAAAGCCTGGCTGATTGCTACCTGGGGGATCCTTTGTTGGGAGTTGTTAGCAGGACATTCCACAGATATATAAACCTCACTTGCCTGGTTTCCAACAATCCTCACATCTCTGAGAATGCCTGACATAGATATAGGTGAAACATCAGGAGAGAATGCTTCTGGAACATGGCCATACAGCCTGGAAAACTCACAGCAACCCAGTGATTCCGGCCATGAAAGCCTTCAACAACATAGAGAAATATGTTGGTGTACAACAAAAGGATTCCAGCCTATATCTTTCAAACTTGTCAAATGCAGTAAAATGAATGCAATCTTGATTTCAATATTTTTCTCCAGTCAGAATTTAACAGCTTGGGCTCTTAGCTCTTCTTTAGTGACTGTACATGTTGAACAAAAAAGCCAAAAAAATAATAATAACTATAATAACTATAATAATAATATTTTTAAACATCAAGCCAGTTTTGTCTGTTAGGACAATACGTTATGTATTCCAGACTTGTGATGCTTTGAATATCTCATTAAAGTAATATGTCACCTGTATTTACATTAGCAAGCATACAATCTGAGCCAACATTGCTCTAGGAATAATCACTTCTGTGTATACTAGTTGATATGTAGCTTGTAGAAGTGGCCACAGATGGGAATGAATACTTGTTATGTGATTTAGCTATGGCATCTCGTGAATGTCTTCTATTTTTATTTGTAAAATAATTCTATAAGGCTGGTTTCAACCTAGTGACCTAGTTCTCATATTGCAGTACACATTCTTTGCGAATGACCAAGTGTGATGGTGCAAGCTACCCCTCCTGCCAAAAGAAGCAGCTAAAGGAACCGGCAAGACTATGGTGTCTGAAATGAGAAAAGTGGCTTGTTGTGTTACTCTTCATCACACTAGAGGATGAATCCACTTTAAATTGGGTTTCTGCCTTTGCAGAATTCTGGGTTTTGTAGCTTAGTGAGGCTGTTAAAGGCTCCTCCCTAAACTACAAAGCCCAGAATTCTGCAGGAGGCAGCAACAGGGTTTAAAGTGAATTCATTCTCTAGTGTGATGAGGCCCTTAAACTAGAAACATAGCATGGTTTGTTCTTGGCTTTGTACCAGCAGATTTGCTTATTCATGATAAACTCAAATTCTGAATCATTTTACTTACTGTGACCACTGCAGGATCTGTTAAATTTTCAGTTGCATTATTGCCAGTAATTATTGGCAAAGTTGGAAACAGAAATCAATAATCCTCTTGATGGTGTAAAAAAGTTTGTTTTGTATTTGGATTTTGTGTTGTCGGAGGCTTTCATGGGCAGAATCAATGGGTTGCTGTGAATCAATGGCTTCTATGGCCATGTTCCAGAATCATTCTCTCCTGACGTTTTGCCCAAGCAAGTGGGGTTTACATATCTGTGGAGTGTCCAGGGTGGGAAAAAGAACTCTTGTCTGCCTGATAACACCTTATGACTGACCAGTTAACACCTCCTAACAAAGGATTCCCCAGGCAGGAAGCTGCCCGGCTTTGAAGCTGCAAGGCCATTTAACGCTAATCTACCTGGCCAAATGCAACATTCACATTTCCTTCAAGCAGACAAGAGTTCTTTCTCCCACCCTGGACATTCCACAGACATAAACCCCACTTGCCTCGTTTCCAACAGACCTCACAACCTCTGAGGATGCCTGCCATTGATGTGGGCAAAATGTTGGGAGAAAGCTTCTGGAACATGGCCATACAGCCCAGAAAATTCACAGCTATTTGGATTTTGTTAGTTTGTTCGCAAATAATTATCCTGCTTTGTAATTCTAATTTAAATAACAAGAATAGAATGTAGATGACTTAGGAGCAACTTTGCAACTGTAGCATAATTTTATTTTTTTGTTTTTGTGCTTTGTGTTTTGTGACACAAAAGCTACATTTCCTATCATATCAGATAGGAAATGTAGCTGTATCCAGATGTTTCTATCAAAGTTGGGATGGAAAAAAGGGAAGAATCAACACAGGTTTCCAAATACAGTTTGATTCTCTGGTCTCTTCAATTCTGAAAGTCTGGCTGGCGAGTATCAGCTGTTTTCTGGAGAGCTTCACACATAGTGTAATAAAATGCAGTAAGAAAGCACGGAATGTAAAGAGACCTACTAAATATCCCTGAAGGAGGTGGAAACTAGATTTGCATAATTTATGACACCCCTAATTGTCACTGGCAATTGCTTTCCAGAGCAGCAATTCAACAGCTGGGTGCTAGCCATCTCTGGCAAACTAGTTTTGCTGAGTTTGCACATCTGGTCTTCTTAGCAGGAGGAATGCAAACTTTGTTGAAGGAATAGCATAGAAACTCTAGTATGCTTTGTAAGCAAAACCCAAGATATGGTAGTTGATGACAATTATGTTGAAAAAATGAGTGATTATGTGTATTCCTGGTCTCCAATTTAGGTACAACTGTACTTTGCTTGTCTGTCAGAGGAGAAGATTCCTTATGTTAACAGTCCAGGAGAGAAACATCGAATTAAACAGCTTCTTTATCAGCTCCCACCCCATGATAATGAGGTAGATATAAATAACTATTTCAGAGCACAGGGACAAAATTCTGGATGTAGTTAAGTGGAAGATTGCTGTTACACATGTTTCGTTTAACATCTCACTCAGTTAATTCTTATATTTCATGTTTTAAATGTCTTTTTTCTTATCTTAGAGAGAATTGTCCTATTGATTTTATGCTTAGGTATATTATGTTGATTTGTGATTTGTTTTGCATATGTAAGGCATTGAATTTTGCCATTATCTCTGTGTAAACTGCTTTGAGCCCCCCCTCCCCAGGGGTGAGAAAAGCAGTATATAAATACTGTAAATAAATAAATAATAAATTCCCAGCCTGTGGGTCCCAGATGTTTTGACCTTCAACTCCCAAAAATCCTAACAGTTGGTAAACTGGATGGGATTTCTGGGAGTTGTAGGCCAAAACACCTGGGGACCCACAGGTTGAGAACCACCGAATTCTAACTGGTCACTGTAAAAACAGAATGCTAGATCCATCAGAAATTGATTATTATCACAGGTTCATTGGTTGTTAGTTTGATGTTTGCTCTTAATATTTTGTTATAATGTTGTTTTATTCTGTTTTATGCTGTTGTTTATATATTTCAATGTGTTATATTTTAACTATGTTGATCGGGCTCATCTCCATGTAAGCCTTCCTGAGTCCCTTCGGGGAGACGGAGGCAGGGTACAAAAATAAAGTTGTTGTTGTTGTTGTTGTTGTCATTATTATTATTATATTGGTGCAGATTATCTGTTGAATGTTTAAGTTAGACATAGTTTTCATTAAATTATATTTTATTGACCCATACATTGTAAAACTATATGTACATAGATCACACTGACCCAAACAATATCTGCAAGTAGAACATGAACAAGATAGGTTCTCTAGTTTTGTTCTTAAGTTGAATTTGTATGTACATTGGAACAGGCAGATTTTTCAAGTGTAACTCAGCCAAATATATATATAATTTTTAGCTCTGGATAGCATAGGAAAGGGTTAAAGCCCCTATGAAGTTTGTTTTGCTGTCTGTGCCCCAGTTTAGAAGATTTCCGCTCACTTTCTGTTCCTGTGATAATTGGATTTCTGAAAAACCTGGCTTGTTGTAGAACCAAGGATTTGTGAAAAAGCTTCAGTGGAGACACCTTTTCCCCATGATAACTCTTTCAGGAGTGAATTTTCCTTCCAAGGGGTAGATTTCTCTCACTTTCTGTTGTCTCACCCCTGTTCTTAACTATGAGTCATTTGTAAGCTGGATGTTTTAACTCTAGGACTGCCTGTACTACTTATAAACAAAAAAACAACAACAAAACATTAATGGAAAGAATGAAACTCTTTTATTGTTTTTGCTTCTTTTTATGTGGCCACACATGCAGATTTTTAATTGCTAAGTCAACAGTAAAATATGCATTTTACTTTTTAAAATAATCAGCATGTATCCTAAAGTTGACTTTTGTCTTCCTAAAGGTGAGATACTGTCAATCTTTAAGTGAAGAAGAGAAGAAGGAACTTCAAATATTTAGTTCCCAGAGAAAGAAGGAAGCACTGGGACGAGGCACAGTCAAATTACTTCCTCGAGCAGTTATACATGCTCTTTGTGAACAGGTAATTTAAATATATATTATATATATAATATATATTATTTAGATGAATATCCTACCTCCCCAAACTGGAGCTAAGGTGATTTATTGTTCCATCTGTTTTAACTCAGCTATGTGTATCTAAAATCATGTAAGAACAAACAATTCTGGCCTAAAGGTTTGAAGAAAAATAGTTAATAGGGCTGCTTAAAATTTACAAGCCTCACCTGTGTTAAGATTGCTAAGTGGTCAAGCCATTCCCCTTGGGCTATATTACAGCCAGCCGTGCTTTCCTAAAGAGCAAGCAAATAAATAAATAACAATGACTAAAGAACACCTGAAGGTCAAATGAAACACTGGAAAACAACCTTTGAACTTTCCTGTTTTTATTGGCAGTGTGGTACAAAGATAAATGGAGGTGACGTTGCAGTATTTGCTTCAAGAGCTGGACCTGGAGTTTGCTGGCATCCATCCTGTTTTGTGTGCTTTACATGCAATGAACTCCTTGTTGACTTAATCTATTTCTACCAAGATGGGAAAATCCATTGTGGCCGACACCATGCTGAATTACTCAAGCCACGATGTTCTGCGTGTGATGAGGTAATCTTGCATTCACATAATATATGTAGCAGAAATGGTGATAAACATTGTGTTTCTTGTTCAGTTAAGCAACTAATGTCTTGAAAAGAAAGGTTCATGTGATTCTCCACAAATGAACTTCTCTACTAGTAAAGGTAAAGGTTTTCCCTTAACGTGAAGTCCAGTTGTGTCAGATTCTGGGGCGTGGTGCTCATCTCCATTTCTAAGCAGAAGATCTGGTGTTGTCCATAGAACACCCCCAAGGTCATGTGGCCAGCATGACTGCATAGAGCGTTGTTACCTATTGATCTACTCACATTTGCATGTTTTTGAACTACTAGGTTGGCAGAAGCTGGGCCTCACAGCGGGAGCTCACCCCACACCCCAGATTCGAACCACCGACCTTTCAGTCAGCACGTTGAGCAGCACAATGGCTTAACCTTCTGTGCCACCAGAGATCTAGCAGGTTATTCAACTATACAATTCTACTAGTATAGTTGAATAAATATGCTCGCATATTGAAAGAATATTGTGATTTGATTTCACATAGTAGCCAGGGCAATGTGCAGTTCTGAATCTTTGGCCCTTTGTTCCCCCTAGATTATTTTTGCTGATGAATGCACAGAAGCAGAAGGTCGTCATTGGCACATGAAACACTTCTGTTGCCTTGAGTGTGAAACCATACTTGGAGGACAGAGATATATAATGAAGGATGGGCGTCCATTCTGCTGTGGCTGTTTTGAATCCCTGTATGCGGAATATTGTGAAACTTGTGGGGAACACATTGGTGAGTATCTTAATACAAACTACACATCTTAAAATACAAAATGTGCTGAGGGTGTACCTTATTCAATGGCCGAAGTTACAAAAACTGTAGTTGTACTATCCAATTTGGTGGCAGAGTAGGGAACCAGAGTCATGCAGGGCCCATTCCCCAAGGTACTGTGTTTGGTATCTTAAAGCTAGCATTTCAAAACTAGTGGGAAAACATTGCAGTCTCTCAAAATATTCTGCTGCTGACCTCAAAGTTACCACATGCCAATAAGACGTCAGTGGCAATATTTGCAGAATTGCTCTATTAGCATATTTAATTCTATCTCTTCTATCTCAGTCTTCTCTAATTAGAACTGTTGATCGCTTTATGACCTAAGCTATTAAATTAACATAGCACACAGCTAGATGGGGTGCTATCTCTGTCAATTGCTTTTGTCATGGGGAGCTTGTATTTCAGAGAGTGTGTGGCAGCATAAAAGACTTTTGTTAGACTAGAGCACATTTCAATCATCAGTCAAATAGGCTTATGCAACAGAAAATTTGTTATCAATTAATATGCTACAAGATTTTTGGGGGGCAACTCTCAATTTAAATTAAGCATAAAAGTCCTATGTCTATAGTTTTAGTTTTGTGTTTATAGTTATGTGGGTGTAAGAAAAATAGGCAGGAAAAATACCAAACAAGTAAACATGTACAAAACTCTAAGACATTTTCTCTTTTCTTCCCAACAGGGGTTGATCATGCTCAAATGACTTATGATGGACAACACTGGCATGCCACCGAAACTTGCTTTTCATGTGCTCAGTGCAGAGTTTCTCTACTCGGCTGCCCTTTCCTTCCCAAGCAAGGCCAGATTTATTGTTCTAAATCCTGCAGCCTGGGAGAGGATGTTCATGCTTCGGACTCTTCGGACTCTGCCTTCCAGTCTGCTCGCTCAAGAGATTCCAGAAGAAGTGTTCGCATGGGGAAAAGCAGTCGGTCTGCAGACCAGTGCAGGCAATCTCTCCTCTTGTCTCCAGCACTGAACTACAAATTCCCTGGTCTTTCCAGCAATGCTGATGATACGCTCTCTCGGAAACTGGATGATTTAAGTTTGTCAAGGCAAGGAGGAGGCTTTGTAGATGAAGACCTCTGGAAAGGAAGGCAAGAGGAAGTACCTGATGATCCAGAGGAGTGGGCTGAGCATGAAGACTACATGACACAGCTGCTCCTAAAATTTGGCGATAAAGGCCTCTTTCAGCAACCAGTGGAAGTAGATGTGAGATCAAATGAGCCATGGATATGTGAGAGTATCGTTCAGGGGAGATCAGAATTGAAGAAAAATAGTCAAAGCCTAGCAAGTAAGAAATACCAGTCAGATATGTACTGGGCACAGTCCCAAGATGGGCTGGGAGATTCTGCGTATGGAAGTCACCCCGGACCTGGAAGCAATAGGAAAATCCAAGAGTTGGAAATGGAACATGGCACAACTAGATACAAACATGACCAAAAGCCATGGTATGATGACTCACTAGAGCGTTTGTCAAACCTGAAGCAACAGGAGCAGTGTGTTCGGGATTCAATGGATTCACTTGCCCTATCTAATATCACAGGTAAGATAACTAAAAACTCTACCTTACAATTTGTTTCACTTGGAGAACATTTATGTGATTTAGTCTACACCAGGGATTTATGGTAGTAGGGCGTATTCCTCTCTGTATTCGCTGGGCAGGCATTATATCTCACACAAGGACTAAAATGGGCTTCTCAGACTTACATCCATCTTCTTTTACTTACTAGTCTGCTTACTATCTTACTTTGCTCTTTACTCTTGCTCCCCTCTTTTTAATCTCTTTATTGCTTTATGCAATTTTAATTGTTACATACTGTAATTCCTTTCCATTCAGATATCATAACAACTTTTTTTGTCTCTATCCCTTTCCAATCAAGAATTCATGAACCTTACTCCTATCAATCACCATAACAGGAACTGTCTTCCAAGTAATAGCACATTGTATTTATACTTGGAATATTCAGAACTATATATTATATATTCAGAATGAAAAGTTTGCTTTCCATTATAGATCAGAATCCTAAAGAGGACCTGCCACTTTGTGGATTTAAGTCTGCAGGAATTAGAATTGAGCAATTTTGTTACATCCAAACCCAGTAAAGGACTGCTGTTAAATTACGAAGTAGGACAGCCAAGAGTGACCAAGGCACATTGGAACTGGCCCACATAATGGAGGATTTCGACCAATAGTTTAATTGTTTTCCTTAGCAGAAATGTTGTGGAAAACATGGAAGAGTGGTGATGGTGGTGATGTATAATATACATTTTATTACATAATTGTTTCTGTTTCCCTTCTAGGTGCTTCTGCTGATGGAGAAGTCAAACCGAGACCTTCTTTGTATTCCTTACAAACCTATCAGGAACTGGACACAGAAGACTGTGAGAAATTGAGCAACATGGGAACACTGAATTCCTCAATGCTTCACAGGAGTACAGAATCTCTTAAAAGTTTAAGCTCTGAATTATGTCAAGGTGAGACGCTGCCAGAAGAGAAGCCGATGCATGTGCCCGTACTAAGAAGATCCAAATCACAGAGCAGGCCTCAGCAAGTCAAGTTTTCAGATGATGTAGTTGATAACGGAAATTATGAGAGTCTCGACATCCGTCAACCTCCCATGAGTGAAAGGACTCGCAGACGTGTTTTTCAATATGAGGACCAAGGGAAGAGGCATCATCATCGTCACAGGAGGAGTCGAAAGTCTCGTTCTGACAATGCACTTCATTTGGCTGCAGAAAGAAAACCTCAAAAGGAGAGACTTAATTTTTATTCTCCTCAGGATTACAGCAAATTAATTCAAAATAAAAGTCCTCATGCCATTCGGGCATACACTCCCAACTCATACAGTCAATATACTCATGTTGCTTCCAACTATGCATTGGGGAATCAAAGAGATCAGGTTTTTGGATTCTTTGGTGAGGAAGAAGACTCTTGGTGTTCATCTTCATCATCGTCTGATTCTGAAGAAGAGGGATATTTCTTAGGCCAGCCAATTCCACAGCCCAGATCAGTGAGATACCCCTACTATGCAGATGTCCTTTCCAGTCCACCTACTGAGCTCCCCAGTTCTCACTTTGGACAGAGAACAAAATCCAAAAAGAGAAAATCGCACAAAGGGAAAAACTGTATAATTTCTTAAGTTTTACTAGGAATTATTGACTCTGTGCCTACACTGTTCTTCAAATCCTATGTAGATAAATGGTTTAAATACAGCCTATAACATGGACAGTCCATTCCATGGATTGTCCATCTGTATCATCTCCCAAGGCTCTGTACGTAATCAACAGAACTAAGAGGCATGTAAGTTTGATTCTATGCAGATGTAGAATTTTAAAAGCCCTTCTAACAACTGAAGATAATCCAGTAAAACAAAGTGCAGTCCTAAAATTGGAAAGAATTCAACATTTTGGGCCAAGACCTCATTTCATACTTTAATTGTCTAGTTAGAAGATGCTCGGTTGCATTTCCCATAACATTTAATCATTTAGTGTGCTATCATGGATTGATGGGAGTTGCTGTTCAACAACTTCTGAGGGTCAACATATTCCTTAAACTTGGGTTAGTGCTACATGTATGAGCTGGAACAAGCCCAAATAATAGTTTCAGCTGGTGCATATCTATTTCTTTTGTATGGTTAGCAGGACCACAGTGAGACTAAGTTTCATTTGCACTGGCTGTGAGATTGTCATATACAAACCAGGAAAAATATTTGACAAACTTCAAGTTTGTTAAAAACAAGCTAATATGAAACAGAATAGTTTATTGAGTGCAAGCTGGGGGGCGGGGTTTGAACCAAACTAATCTGTATTCTAAACAGGTTATATTTCAAACTCGCTTCAAATGGTGATGAGGAAAAATACTTACATTCATCACCTACTTAGTTAATGATGTGTAACTGCAGTTCTCCTGGTCCAGTCCTCCAAGCCCACTTTGACAGCTAGCAGCTGCACTGAATCAAAGAATTGGAAGAGACCTCATGGGCTGTCCAGTCCAACCCCCTGCCAAGAAGCAGGAAAGTTGCATTCAAAGCACCCCCGACAGATGGCCATCCAGCCTCTGTTTAAAAGCCTCCAAAGGAGCCTCTACCACACTCCGGGGCAGAGAGTTCCACTGCCGAACATCTCTCACAGTCAGGAAGTTGCTCTCACAGTCACTGAGTGATGGATGTCTGCTCAGATGGCAACCATAGATTAGAACCATAAAATCACAGCGGTGGAAGAGATCTCATGGGCCATCCAGTCCAGCCCTCTGCCAAGAAGCAGGAAAATCGCATTCAAAGCACCCCCGACCAGGGCACAGGAAAACAAAGTTTCTGTCCCCCTCACATCTGCAATGTGGAATTGTGACAGTTGTAGTCCTTCAGATTGTCAAAGCCTGGAAACCTGCTTTTCCTGAGCCTTGATCGCCATCTAAACAAATTTTCATCACTCGATGTGGCTGGTGTCCAGTGAGGCAGGAAGGCTATTTACAACTGTGGCAAAAGTGCCATGACCACAAATACATAGTATTACTCAATGCAAACCATATTCAGGGGTAACTGCTACTAATCTGTAACCACAATACTCAGTGCCAGCCATTATCACAACATAAAACATTAAGCCAAAGTTTTCAACTAAAAATCTACTGCAGGATCGTCTAGGGCAGTGGTTCTCAACCTGTGGGTCCCCAGGTGTTTTGGGCCTCCAACTTCCAGAAATCTCAGTTTACCAGCAGTTAGGATTTCTGGGAGTTGATGGCCAAAACATCTGGGGACCCACAGGTTGAAAACCACTGGTCTAGGACATCTTATGTGTGGATGTAATACTAAAGGAGAGGCTGTCAGTCTGACATTCCATGCTTGTTGGGATTTAAAAAAATATTCATAGGGAAACAGGTTGCCAATCTTCTACCAAACATGGTTTAGTATTGTCCGTGCATAGCCAGTGTCTCACACTGTGCATTCCTGTTAATCTGTATTAATGCCGCCCAACCAGTCTGATGAACTAGTATGCTCTAGCAGGATTTAAAACACAAAGCAAGTGATTTAAATCCTGCCAAACTGACTTCTGTTTAATTTTTGTTTTGAGTGATCTTCACTCAGGAAAAAGCAATTGAGCATAAAATGTTCACTGCCCTCAAGCGACTTTTCATGTGTTGTAAGCCAAAGCCCCATGTATGAAACTAATTGTACGAACTTAGTGAGTCCGCTTACTGTTGTAAAACAAACAAGGATCCTGAATGTCGAAACACTATCCCAGCTTCCAAATGTAGTATATGAGCAGCAGTTAGAAACAACTAATATTTATAATGTAGTATTTCATAGCTGAAACTGTGTTCATAACACTGCAAATAATGTACATATTGTAAAGTTAAAATGTAAGACTATTTTTATATCCCTGAATTGAAAGACATTTGTTTAAAATACAAAGAGTAGTTTTATTTGAGGGTTTAACATCAGCTTGAGTCAACAGGGGTTTGCTAAATGTTCATAAGTTTATAGTAGTGACATGTTTAATTTTTGACAGTAATGCTCTGTTTGCATGGTGGAGCTATGTAAATACTGTTTAAGCTAAGGTTCTTAATATTAAAGGAATTATTTATGGGTCAAGGAAACCAAATTGTGTAGGTAGTGCGCACACACATCCTGGTATATACAAACTCATCAAAACACACAGCTTGGTATAACATGCAACAAAGTACTGTTTTAGAAACTGACACCATGTTTTAAAATGTATAGTGAATAGTTATCTACAATTTGCAATAAAAAATAAAAAATCATTTCTCGGGAGCTGACATATACGAGCAGTGGAATATTGCAAGTTATTTAAGCAGCCATAATTTAAAGACTATTGAATCACCATCTGAGAAATGAAACCTTATTTCTGATTCGGTTTAATAACCAAACTGACATGATGCATAGGAAATTATGGCCTTGTGCTTGTAAAAAGAATGGGCTGATTGAAAAAAGAAGGCAACTCCTGTCAAGTCTCCTCTCTAAAACAAGCCAAATACAACTCTACATCTTATAATTTTCTCTTCAATTTACCCAATTTGGGAAAATCTTTTTGGAGCTGTTTGTAGTCTTAAATGATTTCCTGATCCTAAATGATATGATGCCCCTGAAATGGGCAGCAGAGACATCTCTTACAAACATTGCAACATTTCCAGGAACACATCACATGCTTCATTGCAAGAGATGCATATGTTTAGGACATTGAAACTAGAGAATATTCAAAGTGCCAAATCACAATTGTGCAATGGATTCATTTAAAGTAAGCTTTATCTTTATCAATGGATACTATAGTCAAAGACAAGCCACTGAACTGCGTCATAAGAATGCTCCACTTGTATGACCTATTGGGAAAGTGAGGCAGAAACAGATTCAGCATAGGTAATAATCCTGGAAAATATCAAATTCATCTGGGCAACTATACCATTTGTACAATGTCAACTTGTATAGCTCTGTACCTGTTTAAAATTGTTGTCTTCAATACACTCATTTGTAAAAATAAACAAATCTATTAATATGCTGCAAACTCCTCAAGCAGAACAATATATTCTTTCTCATTATTGTGCTTTTGGCATGAAATACTGTACATACCAAAATTGAATACTGTTTAGGTAAGGTCAAGAAAATCCCAACTTTTCAAAAAGACTTGGAAGGCTTTTAATTACAGGTCATTTCACTTTACAGCTCATAAGAAACTTTTAAAAATTCCTGATTTAGTGATGGAATTCAGACACTAAGACACAGTTCTCTTATCCAAAATAATAGTAATGGAATGCAAAAAGGCTACCTGTCCTGAGGACAACATATTCTGCATTTATTGAACTTATTTTTTTCCCTGTAGGATGTACAAACATTGGTGTGAAGTTACTAGTATTCATTAAACACACAGTATTTACAACGTATGAACAATTCGGAACTGATGTTAGGGTTCTTCAAATTCTTGGCTTCTGGCATCATATTCTGTTATGAAGTGTTTAAGTTCTTCAATACATCTCTCACCAATTTCATGCAAGTTTTGTCTCAAGGAAAACTGGATGGATTTTTCTAATGAAGGGTCTTTTTCAATCAGCATCTTCACTACAGCACCAAAGGTTTCACAGTCCTGTTTGTATACCTAGAAAAGATTTTTAGAAGATACTGAATTAAATGTAGAATTCGGAATGTTCATCATCTAAAAAGAAAGCAATTTTCTCAAATACCAAATGTACAAAGAAGCTGGTGATTAGGAGCACATTTTGCCAGCAATGTATAGTTTGCTAATTGGGAACATATGAAGAGGAAGCAATCTAGCTTCAGTTACAGGTATCAAGAATATAAAACACTCCCTACATTAAGTTGTCTTTATAGTTCAGCTGATAAAAAAGCCAGCCATAATGATAGTAGTGACTAGTGACTTCATCAAACTAGAGAATGAATCCACTTTAAAATCCAGTTTCTACCTCCTGTAGAATTCTGGTGTTTGTAGTTTAGGGTGGAGCCTTTAACAGTCTCATTAAACTAGAAACCCCAGAATTCTGCAGGAGGCAGAAACCGGATTTTAAGTGGATTCATTCTCTAGTGTGATGAAGTAGTCGGTGTTTTGAGTTCTAGACTGTTAGCAATCTTTGGAGGTCTAAATGGTTTGGGACCAGGTTACCTGAAGAACTACTTGCCCTACAATGAAACTACATGGGTCCTGATAACAGTCTGATGTCTGTACTCTGTTATGAATCATCAAAGTAGTAGGTGCAAGTATAAAACTTCAGTGGTGGCCCCAGAACTGTGTATGATATTCATACGGTTGCCAAAGTTTATCTACCTGGCTGTTTATATCTTAGTGACATGTTTCATACATTGGTTTTTAAGTAATTTTTGGCCATGTGAAATCCTTTGCTGTCTGTGTATGTCTTACTGACTTGGCAAGCAGAATTCAAATGCATTAAATATGTGCAGAGGGTCAGGAGCATCAGAAGTGAACAGACAGAGAAAGGGTCAATGGCATTTACAGGCTTTTTACAGGCCAGCAACCTTCTCACCCCACTGTTCCCTGACAATCTGCAAAACAACAAAAAGATGGGCTGCAGGAAAGAGATGGTGAAGCTTCCCTCTTCTGCAAACTTTTCAGTTTGAAGACATGATAAAGGGACAACTGTAAACATGCTCCTTTAGAAGGAATGTCATCGCCTCTCCCCAGATAGACAAACCCATCAGCAGAAGTTGAACTGGCAGGACTGACTGTATTCACTTCACCCAGTCCATTATTTATTCCAGACACCAATTCAATATTTGGCCATTTACAGACTCACATTTCACCCATACCACTACTTTAACAAAACTGAATGTATGCAAATATGCAGTTGAGTCTGGCAGCTGGATTTATTTGATCAAAGTACATAGTGCTCCCTTGTAATCCAGGCAGAACAGAAGTTGACTTAAGTATAGGTTAAAGCTAACTGGACTCCCAGACAGAAGGCTGCATGAAAATCATACCAATTGCTGAAATTCAAAATACATTAAAATATTAAATTTGTCAAGTTAGACCCTGTAAAAAAATTGCAATGTTTTGCTAATATTGCAGGTATATCTCAATCCACTGGATAGAAAAACAAACATTAATAGCACAAATTCAGTTGTATTTTTTTATGGTTTTGAATATTTTGCATACTGTCTGAGTGCACCAATGGAGTTCACAAGCTTTTACAACCACTTGTCAGCTATATTCCATTTTAAAGATATTTCTGTCCATTTTAAGTGCTCAAGGAAATAGTTTCTATTTTAGTTTGCTGTGATAAGGACCTGGATGAAATATAGCCAGGATCATAACAATTTTTAGCTGGTCCTCTTCCATGGGAAGAAAGCTCATGAATATAAGGAATCAACTGATCTTTGACTTGGAAACTTTTTCAACATTTTATATTTAAAAGAAATATTTTTGCCACTATTCTCCTTGTCATTTTCTCCTTTGACTTCAAGTTTGAGATATTCATCTCAATACATAGTACAAAATCCTTTTAAAAACACAAAGGATTCCAATCTGCATAACACTGGCACAAAACATATAGGAAAATAAACATTCAGTTCTTCTGGAATGTATTGAATACCTCCAAAAATCTGAATTCAATTGTAGTTCCAACTAAAGGAGGCAGAGCCACTACTGTTACTTTTGAATAGTAAGTCCCTGACTTACAAACTTACCATATATTTGACTCCTAGTTACAAATAGGCTTGAGATAACAGGAATTGAGAGGAAATTTAGCCCTAAGAAAATAAATTCACTCCTGAAAGAATTGTCATGGTAAAAAGGTGTCTCCACTGAAGCACTATCACCAATCCTTGTTTCCACAACAAGCCAAATTTTTCCAAAATCCAGTTCTCACAGGGACAAAAGGTGAGGTGAAATTTTCTGAATGGGCAGAGACAGTAAAACAAACGTTCAGTCGCTTCCAACTCTTCGTGACCTCTTGGACCAGCCCACGCCAGAGCTCCCTGCTGGCCTTCCCACACCCCCAGCTCCTTCAAGAATACTATCAATCCATCTTGTCCTTGGTTGGCCCCTCTTCCTTTTTCCTTCCATTTTCCCCAGCATCATTATCTTCTCCAAGCTTTCCTGTCTTCTCATTATGTGGCCAAAGTAATTAATCTCTGCCTCTAATATTCTTCCCTCCAGTGTTTACATTACAGGAGTGTTAGCCCTTCCCTGCGCTATCCAAAACTAACAATTGGCTGGAATTACACTTAAAAATATACCTGTTCTGGCTTACATATAAATTCAATTTAAGAGCAAACCTACAAAATGAATCTTGCCCATAACCCAGTGACTGCCTGTACTTATGTAAATAGGTATAAATCTATAGCTCTCCCCCTTAGGATTAGGAATTGGACAATAGCCAGAATGCATAAGAATACATTTAAAACAAACCTGACTATAATCTTGAAATCTGTTGCTCAGTGACCCTCAAGAGAAAGTGCAGTGACCATTCTAAACATTACTTCATATACCAGATGTTCATACCAGATTTACAGTCATATCACTATAGCATCCATCTGGCCAAATGTTAAATATAGGCCCATTTTCCGGGGGGGGGGGGGGGGGGGGAGTTTACCATGAAAATCTTATCTCCGCTTAAAACATTTCCAGTAACTTCTGACTGTGCTTAATTAGAATGTTGATTAAGTATAAACCACTAAAAATTCAACACGTATACATGGTTGAACAGATGTTTTCCTTTCACTAAGTCTGGATGAAGAAACCCACCACTATCCAATTAATCTAATGCAAATGAGATTTTAAAATGTGTACTAAACTTTGCACAGGTACAAATCCATATTTGCTTTTTTAACAAAACAAAAGAAAGTCACTGGAAAATAACACTAAAATCTGAAGTTGCAATAATATGGCTGCGATCCTAAAACACATTTACTAGGAAGTGTAAGCCTTCGTGAATACATTTTAAGTAAACATTTGATACTGTCAGGTTAGAGAAGAAATCCTGGGGAGACAGTGAGGGTGAGTTGAGAATCTATGAACGCCTGCAGTTCTACCTTCATCATATTTCCTTGTGTCTGCAAAAATTGTAGAAAATTCATGTATTCAAAACCAAAGCATAGCCATTCTATTCTATTCCATTTTTAAGAAAAGAGAACAAAGGAGAAAAACCAGAGACAATAAAACCACAGGACTAGAAGGTATGTAAATAGTACTATTTGCGCATAATAGAAAGCAGTCATAAACCATACAAAAAGCAGGAGCTATGTTATTAAAAAATTCCAAGTATGAATCAAGGATTTTGAACATTAGTAATGTACCGTTACAACTGTGGAACTCAGACCAACACAAAAAGTACAGTAACTCATAGTCGCCCACTGAAAATTCTGGTTGCAGTAGGGTTTCATTTAAATTTTTGCTCTACAGTTTTACTCCTGTTACTGAGTTGTTTTTGAACTCACTTCTTGGAAAAGCGTTACCAAAGTAGGACAATCTGCTTCCTTTAGCATTTCTGATACACACGAGCAAAACGTAACCCACCACCTTAAGACACAGATCACTGGATTCCCACAGTACTACCTATTCTAATACTTCATCACACTAAAGAAAGAATCCACTTTAAATCCGGTTTCTGCTTCCTGCAGAATTCTGGGGGTTGTAGTTTAGTGAGGCTGTTAAAAGCTCCTCCCTAAACTCCAAACCCCAGAATTCTGCAGGAGGCAGCAACTGGATTTAAAGTGGATTCTTTCTCTAGTGTGATGAGATCCTAATTAACAGTACAGTGAGAAAACTCAAGCTATAGGCCCTATCTACACTGCCATATAATGCAGTTTCATAACACAATTTAACTGCATTGAACTGCATAGAACTGGGAAGCCCTGGCCCTTGAGCGCTCCAGCAGGAGTTCAGCTGTGACCAGCAATGCTGCAGAATTCGAGGAGCACGAGTGGAGGGTGAAAGAGAGAAACGTGCCAGGAGGAAGGCGCGTCAAGCCAACCCCGACCGGGACCACCTTCTACCTGGAAACCAATGCCTACACTGCGGAAGAAGATGTAGAAATGAATAGGGCTCTACAGCCACATGCGGACCCACAAGGAAACCCATAATGGAAGACCATCTTACTCGTCCAATGAGGGATCGCCTAAGTGAGTAAAGTAAGTAAGGTAGTGTAGACTCACATAATGCAGTTAAACTGCATTATGTGTAGTGTAGACGGCCTTAGAATCCTCATATCTAAAGACCTTTACATAATTTCCCATTTTTTTATTTTGTTTTTTAAAAAGGTACTTCCATTGGAGTACACTAAGAACAATTCTACCCTAAGCAATTCCAGCCCATCTTACCTTTCCAAACGTATATCTCCCTATGAACCATCTCGGAGCTTAAGATCGTCTGGGAAGGCCCTGCTCTCAGTCCCGCCTTCTTTGCAGATGTGACTGGTGGGGATGAGAGACAGGGCCTTCTCAGTGGTGGTCCCCTGGCTGTGGAATTCTCTCCCTAGGGATATTAGATCAGCCCCCTCCCCTCCTGACCTTTTGTAGAAAAGTGAAGACATGGCTTTTCGAACAACCCTTTGGAAATGCAATGCAATAGACGAACATGGAATCATGTGATAATGAACTTTGGAATGGCTCAGACAATGTTTTTGGACAAGGAGATTAACAGTGAAGGAATTCGTTTTTATGTGATTTCAAAGCTCTTTGTATGGTTTTTCAATTTGTTTTAAATGTTTTTAAGTGTAAATTGTTAAGGCATCAAATGGCTGTCTGATTGTAAGCTGCCTTGAGTCACCTTCGGAAAGAAGGCAGGACAGAAATATCATAAATAAATAAAGAATAAATAAATAGGTAGAATTTTTTAAAAAGCACTGACTTGTTTCTTAACAGTGATTCTGTCCTAGTGACAAGTGCAAGGAAATATTATTTTCACTATTCCTCTTAGCTAATGTAAGAAATTAGTGAAATTAATGTTTAGGTAAAGGTAAGGTTTCCCCTGACATTAAGTCTAGTCGTACCCGACTCTGGGGGGTAGTGCTCATCTCCATTTCTAAGCCAAAGAGCTGTTGTCCATAGACACCTCCAAGGTGATGTGACCAGCATGACTGCATGGAGCACTGTTACCTTCCTGCCAATGCAGCACCTATTGATCTACTCACATCTGCATGTTTTCAAACTGCTAGGTTGGAAGAAGCTGGGGCTAACTGCAGGAGCTCACCCTGCTCCCCAGATTTGAACCACCAATCTTTTGGTCAGCAAGTTGAGCAGCTCAGCGGTTTAAACAGCTGTGCTACCCGGGGACTCAAAATTAATGTTTACTAACGCTCTATGATGTAATAATGATAATAATAATAATAATCATCATCATCATCATTTTATTTATGCCCTGCCACCATCTCCCCAATGCAGCGGCTAACATGAGGCCAAGCCCAACAATTACAATAAGGCAAAATAAAATACATACAACAGATAATAACATCAAATAAAATGCAAACAATAACAAATAATGCAATAGGGTAAACACAGAATGTGAGATAAATAATAAAGAAGTTATCACAGTGGGCTGGGCCAAATGCAAGGGATAAAATAATAAAAACCCTGGGTGAGATGGATGAGTAGGGTAGTATATCTGGTGGGAGATTCAAATGGGACAAGCGGTGGAGTGTAATTTCAATAAGGGATGGCATAAAGTGTATCAAGGACATTTTGTACTGAGATGGTCATTGTATGGGGATTTGTTGTTCATTCCTCAAAGGCATGTGATTCTCTCCTTACCCTAACGTACTCCTTGCCGGAGGGCTTCTCTAACTGTAAAGAGAAGCCGGAGTGCAGGCAGAGCTGCAGTGAATGGAGATTAACAAGAAATATCTGCCCCACATTGTGCAACCATTAGATTACAGCCCCATACAGCCTTTAGAACTACTTTGATTTATTATTATCAAAGATTTTAAAGACTGAAATATTTTGGCTGAGAATACACCCAAATGTAACTAGGAAGTAAATAGCTTTTCACTATTGAAGGACCTACCCTTCAATGATTTACTAACTGGAAACTGTTTCCTAAAAAGTTCTACAGTAAACTTGTTTGTCACATACAGGAAGGGTGTTGTTTTCTCTATAAAAAAAGGTTTGCTTAGCACTGCTTTGCTAGCTAGAAATGTATTAATAATTCTAGTTTTATGTTTATAGGCCCACATAGGAAGGAATTTTAATAAAGACCTCATGTAAAAGAGGACATAGGTTAAGTGAGGGTGGAGTTCATTATGCTGGCATGGAAACAACAAAGCCCCTTTTAAATAGAGATAGAATGCAATTTTCTGTTGAAAACAGAACATTCCTACAGAACATTTTAATAAGGTTTCTACCCAGGCATCATACAGAATTACACAAACTGTTGTTTTTCCTGTCACCCAGTTCTACACATCTCCTGCTCCAGTCAAAATGGCAGACCAGGATTTAGTATACAAATCCAGTTACTCAAATTTATCAGAAGGTATTTATTTATTTATTCCCTCCTCTTTCCCTAATTCTGGGATGCTTAGGAATACTGGAAAAAAATCTGCTCACTCTGAACTATCCAACAAGACAAGGAATACCATCTAAGCCTAGAAAGACTGTATTACCTGGGATCAGGGAGACAGTAAATGGCCTTACTTGATTTTTCTTATATATCTTATAATATAAGACTATGAAAGCATGACATCAAAAACCAAAGAGCAAATTCAATTCACAAAAAAAGGAAAATATTATTTAGAAAGGAGTGAATGACAGTGATTCTTACTTTCTCAATCTCTGCTGTCTTTGCAGCAATTGCCTTGGCACGTCTAACACGCTGAGTGTCTTCAAATAATTCATTATCGTCTGTTATGTCGGCAACAGTTGCTTCATGACGTTCTGCATATAATGGTTCCGAAGCTTCTGCCTTTAAGAAACACAGTAGTATTATGTGGCTAAAAGAGATATGTAAGTAAGATATATTAGGTATCTTCTCACAAAGTAACTAGCTGTTTTCATACATTTCAAACAAACTGGCATAGCACATACTTCAAAACAATTGTCCAAATTGCTATATCAATGGAAGGCCAAATAAAGAGCTCCTGCAGTCAGATTTATGGCTTATGAAGCCTTTTGTGAACAGTCGATAAGTCAGATGAATTCAATGCTGCACAGATAATTTGAGCACATCTGATCCAGTATAGCACTCTCAGTACTTTGGCAACAGATACTAAATTAGAGGAAATTCCATTTTTTCCTTTCACCAAAAGCAAATTGGCTGACCTGCACTCAAAGCTACCAGCCCCTCCACCTCTGAATTGGGATACACACACTAATTTGTAGGCCTCTGAATGGATCAGATACTCAGCCCTTTTTTGAACCAAGTTTCAGAGTATAATTCAAAACTTCTGTAAGTGCTGCTCAATGTTTGATCATGTAAACATGCAGAGTTGTAACTAAGGAAGGGCATTATACAGGAGAAAATACTGATTCTAGAGGATGCACTTGTATCATTTCAGAAACTAAAGCAAAAAAGAAATGTGGTCACAGCACAGCAAAATTTTGCCCTTGAGTAAAGATAGACTTGTGTTCCCTTATTTTACTGTAGAAACCAAATTCCATTACCTGGCTTAAAGATGAACACAGCCCAGACCTTTTCTATCACACAGTTCTGAGCTTTGCTTGAACACCAATTTAGAACAACATGGAAAGAAAAAATAGCTCAATACAAATACCTACTGGCATTATTTTCACTTACTTCATATTCTGAAATTTCAGGTACACTGCTTGTGTCTCCTTTCTCTGGTTTATCAGCAGGCCACCTACTTGCAGTTTCTGCAAGCTCCTTTTCTGATAGCCTGCCACTTTTGTCCAAGGCCTAGTTAAAAGAAAGAAACAAATACTGTAAAAGTGTAAACATAAATATGTAGGAGAAGCTGAATACAAGTTCAAGATAATTTGAAATACCATATCTACGCAAATATAACCCAAGTTTTTCAGCCCTTTCTTTGGACTGAAAAAGTCTTCCTTGGCTAAGAATGGGATCAAGGCTCCGATGCTGCCCCTGCTGTTACAGTTGTTTCCAGACACTGCTTGCACTATATATTTCTCTCTCCTCTTCCCCTCCCTTAACAATGTGTTTTCTTTTCCAAATTCTCCCTCATTCCGCTTCTCCTCCCAGGCTGGAGTTGCCCATTTTGGAAACTCTTATTTAAAAAGAGAGAGAGAGAGAGAGAGAAGGGAATGTTTTGAAAAGAGAAAGGAGGGGAGCTTGTAAAGAATATATAGATTTTCCTCCTAGAAATCTTTACAAGCCCTGTGTTATCTGTATATATCTATATGCATATTCATCTTATATATGCATTTCCCCTGAAGTCTTTTGCAAGCCTGATTTCAGTTTATTAAAATGTATCAGGTTTATATTTGTATTTTTGTTACCTTGGAAGTGTTTGCTGGCCTTTGCAAGGCCTATAGATCTATAAATATGTTTCTATACATGCATGTTAATCTCTCCTACAGATATATAGGAATTTCCCCTATATGCCTACATTTATCTTTGCAATCCCTGTGTACCTATATATCTGTATCTATCTATACAAATTAATTTTATATAAGAATTTTCCCTTCACATGTTTGCAGATCTTTGCAAATCCTATATACATATAGATATCTAGAGATTTCCATGTACCTGTAGATCTGTACGTATTATTCTTATATATATGAATTTTCCCCTCACATATTTGCAAGTCTCTGCAAATCCTATATAGATATAGATATAGATATATATATATATATAGAGAGAGAGAGAGAGAGAGAGAGAGAGATGTACCTATAGGTCTGTATGGCTCTGTGTGTGTGTATGTGTGTGCATGCATATGTGTAGGTAAAGGTAAAGGTTTTCCCGACATTAAGTCTTGTCGTGTCCGACTCTGGGGGTTAGTGCTCATCTCCATTTCTAAGCCAAAGAATCAGTGTTGTCTGTAGATACATCTAAGGTCATGTGGCCGGCATGACAGCATGGAGTGCCGTTACCTATTGATCGACTCACAATAGCATGTTTTCAAACTGCTAGGTTGGCAGAAGTGGGGCTAATAACAGGAGCTCACGCCACTCTCCGGATTCGAACCTGAGACCTTTCGGTCAGCAATTTCAGAAGCTCAGCACTTTAACCCACTACGCCACCGGGGGTTCTTTCTTTATTATATGCATATTTGAAAGCCCTATATATCTAAATTACTATATGTCTATCTAGACATCTATAGATAGATAGATAGATAGATAGATAGATAGATAGATAGATAGATAATTATATCTATATAGGATTTGCAAAGGGTTGCAAACATGTGAGGGGAAATTCATATATAAAATTATTTATGTCTATGTGTGTATATATATAAAAATAATTTTATATATGAATTTCCCCTCACATGTTTGCAAGTCTTTGCAAATCCTATATAGATATAATTATCTATAGAGAGAGATGTCTAGATAGACTTATAGTAATATAGATATATAGGGCTTGCAAATATTAAAGGGGGGAAATGCGCACACAAATATATATAGACATGTCTAGATAGATATGAATATAGATATATAGGGCTTGCACACACACACATTCAAAAACATTTAATCTACTGATGCCTCAATTAATTTTATTGGTATCTATTTTTAATTTGGAATTTACCAGTAGCTTCTGCAGTTTCCACCCTCAGCTTGTACTCAAGTCAATAAGTTCCCCCAGTTATTTGTGGTAAAATTAGGTGCCTCAGCTTATATTTAGGTCAGCTTATACTCAAGTATAAACGGTATATAAGATTACAAAAACAGAAGAGGAACAGCCACTGTACACCAGCAAAGTACTACTTATTTGAAAGGAAATGTATAAATTCAGTATTGTTTTAGAAAACATGTATGATAGTAGTTTAAACCATCTTGAAGGTCCAGGGTAGAAAAGAATAAAATGTCTCCAAAAAAGCTTAACTTCAGAATCACATTGCAGATTTATAGAGGCATAAATTAATATTGGTTGAAATCTTGTAGCAAGATGTAATAATGGAAGCTAAATTTTGTTTCATCTGAATTACTTTTTTCTACAAACAGTGTAAAAATATACCCACCTTTGAAGGGGGTACTGCTGTAGTTCCTGAAGGGGATACATCTCCTGAGGTCTTCAAAGACTGAGTTGCTGGTCTCTCTTTATCTAAATGAACAAAAATATTTAAAAGTGACCGTAGTGACATATGATTTTTTATCACATATTTTCTAACTTAAATTAATAACTAAGTATCTAGGCAGTTATCACCTATTTCAGTCATTCATAACTCATGTTAGAAAACAATTGCTCAGTTTCCTATATCAATAGATGGACAAAGAAAGTTGAATTCGGCTAGCTGTAGAAATTTCTTAAAAATCTTGTAGTTAACACAGGATTAAAAAAACACGCTTAATAATAGCAACGGTCCAAATATTTAACTACAACGTGGTAAGTGCAACTGATACATTTTAGCCAAGGCTTGCTTTCTAAAAAAAAAACTGAAGTGACAGACTTAAGTAGATTTTCTTGACACGAAATGTATTCTATAGTATCTCCAAAACTAAGATAGCAAAGATCCAAAGGGGTCATTCCTGTCCCTCCCACCACCTTGGCCAAGAAGCAACCTTTCCCTGTAAACAAGAGTACAGCTCCATGCATGTTATTGTGCTGCAGTTAAACATTCCTTGTCAATGTCTACAAACTAGAATGTAACAATATCTATTTCCCATGTCACCTTTAATATTTTCCACCCTGCGATTTCAAAAATGCCAAGATCACTTTGAAGTTTTCCCTTTTCTTTTTTTTTTAATCCAAAGCAAAATGTTTTTCCAAGATTTGTGAGAAAAAGAACTCAAAGTTTAATGTGCAACAACCATTTGTGGGGTTACAGAATTGTTTCACCCCCAAATTCCAGTATCTACAATGTTTAGGAGTAATGTCTCCTATATGCAGTAATGGTCAATGTTTTATAAGAGTCCAAAAAGAGCATGGGTAGAAAGCTGCACTTCTCTTTAATCTCAAAATCTCATCTTGAGTTTTACTTATTTAGAACCAAAACTCCAAATAAAATGAGTTTTCGCATTATTACCAACTTCTAAAATGAGATTAAGGCAAATATATTGAGCAGTAAAAGACGCAAAAGGACTTGAGTTAAATGAGAAGTGAGCACATCACTAATATATATATATATATACATCAAGTTACATCGGATTACATCTCATCACTGACAGCAGAGTCTTCAATCAGTAGAATATAGAGAAAACTGCTGTTTGCCTTGTACCTCCCTCACTGTTCCAAAGGGCCCCTCAACCCTCTGGAGCAGATTTACCTTGTTGGGAAATATTACTTTTATGCAAAGGTGGCATACTTCTGCTAAGTTGAGCCTGGTGAAAAGCATAGGCTTTGCTTCTGTCAGGGGAATAACCTCTGCTGCTGACGCTGGAACCAGATCTGCTCGGAGGGGAATCTCTTCTTGCGACTGGTGATTCCCTGAAGTAAGGAGAATCCCTCTTGTGTGGGGATCGGTCTCTTGGATAGTGAGAGGGGAATACTGGTTTTCGTCTGATGCCATCTCTGATTTCTCTTTAAACATTGGAACAACAAGAAGAAATAGATTTGGTCAGCATATATTGATGTGGAGGTCTCCCAAGCTACATTGTCTACCGAACCTTCTTCTCTGCACAAAAACAAATGTTATCACTTATTCTTTAACAAGAAATTAAAGGCAAAGTGTAAACTTCCTTAAAATGGAATACTGACCAACACTGTAAGTTTTAATATTTAGTGATCTAAGCTCGTAGTCATTACATTCCCAGTTTGACCCAAAATGCAAAGTGGACAGCGTTTAATCCCCATCATGGCTTTGCTTGAAAAGTTTCTAAGTGAGCAAGAATTCTTCATGGACACATTTTCATTCACACAGAAACTAAGCCTATTAACAAATAGCAACTTCCCCTCTTCAGACTTTTCACATTCCACATGAGGAAAATTAACTGATATAAATCAGGGATACAGAGCTGATGTAGTTTCAAAATTAAGTGCTTATAATGAAGGGATACAGCAAAGATGACTAGAATGAAGTTATAAACAAGCATCTTTCAATGTAATTATTGAACTTTGGTTGGCCACCGCTTATCCTCTCACTATTTTTTTGCTCCATATTTATGTCTCCAAGAGCCTAGAGCTTTATTTTATTTCAAAGCAGGACAGTTTTATCCTACGCAGTTATCAAATCCATTATCTTTCATCGCTATAAATCTTAACTTTCAAAATGTTGAATATTTTCAGTTTCTTGCAGTATAATAGGAGTCCCTGGTGGTGCAGCGGGTTAAACTGCTGAGCTGCTAAACTTGCCGACCAAAAGGCCGGCAGTTCAAATCTGGGGACCTGGGTGAGCTCCCGCTGTTAGCCGCAGCTTCTGCCATCCTAGCAGTTCGAAAACATGCTCACGTTAGCTTAATAGGTACCACTCTGGTAGGAAGGTAACGGCGCTCCATACAGACATGCCAGCCACATGATCTAGGAGGCATCTACGGATGTCAGCTCTTTGGCTTAGAAATGGAGATGAGCACCACCCCACAGAGTTGGACATGACTAGACTTAATGTCAAGGGGAAACTTTACCTTTACTACAGTATAATAGAACTTTATCTTCTTATATGACTGAATGCCAATCCTAATAAACAAGAAGTAGGCTGGCAATCTCATTTCCAGGTGCAAGTGGCCATGGTGTGTTCTATAGTAGGTTTGTGTGTACAGGGGAGTCTTTAAATCATCTGTCAAATTCCACTGGTTTTTCTTGGGCAAGAAATACTCAAGCCTGGTTGGTGGGGATGCGGAAAGGGCCCTTTTTGGTGGCTGCCTCTGGGCTCTGGAATTCTCAAAACTAGACTCTTTGGGAAGAAATCTAATATGCTTTCAATTGTTTTAAACTCTCACAATGATGATTATTAAAATTACAAAAGCAAAATCCAGCATTAATGACTAAAATAAAAATGATTCCCACTTATTACCGTATACCTACAGGGAAAAGCTGGACAAAATCATGAGAAAAGTCTAAACTTGAAGAATCTCATAAAATTAACAAGTGGGGAAACTGACATCAACCAGATCTAGATGAAGAATGTCCATATCAACTAAAGAGTTGTTGAAAAGGAACATAAGGGTTTTTGTTATCTCATCAGACTTATATAACCATAATACTGCCATGTAAGTGTAACTATTTAGAGGGAATTAAAGTACATTTTGCCGCTTCACTTCTGACTCTTTGGACGCATATGTTCTAAGTGTATGACATACAGCAAGCCATACACATACATACAGATGCAACAGAAGACTTAAAACGCAAATGGAGAAAAAGAGCCCTCTAGTGTTGAAGCCAAGCTTATTTTCTTTCAGCATTTTGAAATAGCCAGCCAACATTATAAACAAGGACTAACAATATAACATTATCTATACCACTTTTCCAAGACACACTTCTATATTATTGGAAAACTGGAAGGATTACCAAGGATCATCTTGCCCAACTCTCTGCTAGTAAAGGCACGGAAACAGCTGCCAAATTTGGGTCCCTCTCCACATCCTTTTGCACACTCTTGACAAACTGGGATCATAATAGGAATGTTACAGTTTTACTTACTTATTATTTATTTATGTACAGTATTTATACACCACTTTTCGCACCCCTGTGGGGGGGGGGGGACGACGACTCAAAGTGGTTTATAAAAAAAATGGCAAAACTCAATGCCTTACATACATAAACCAAATTATAAATCAAACAGCATATGACTAAGCATAAAATAAAATAGGGAAAATTCACCATAAAGTAATAGAAATTTAAACATGAAGTATAAAAATTAAAAATTCCTAATAAAAATATTACTTACTTGAAGATAGGGCACATCTCTACACTGTGGAACTAGTACAGGCAATCCCCAAGTTACAGTGATCTGACTTACAAATGATTCATAGTTAAGAACAAGGGTGAGACAACAGGAACTGAAAGAACTCTACCTATAGGAAGGGAAATTCATTCCTGGAACAGCTATCATGAGGAAAAGGGGTCTCTACTGAAGCTTTACCACCAAACCTGGTTTCCACAACAAGCCACGCTTTTCAAAATCCAGTGATCACGGGGACAAAAAGCAAGGTGAAAACTTCTGCACGAGGGCACAGGCAACAAAACAAACTGCTTATGCTAACAAAAGATTTTTAAAATGCTTATATATATATATATAGAGAGAGAGAGAGAGAGAGAGGCTGGAGTTACACTTAAAAATGTTCCTGTTTCTACTTACAAACAAATTCAACTTAAAAGAACAAACCTACAGAATTTATCTTGCTCGTAAGTTGTGGACTGCCTACACATGACATTTCCTTCTTGATAAACATGTATATGTGCATCAAGTCAAATGGTATTGAATTAAAAGTTCAGAAATATTTATAAGCCAAGAAATGCATATTTCTGATTTTCAAACTATTAGTGTGTGGAAGTCTACATCACCTTCCAAAAATAAAATAAAATATTAGACTGTAAACTCCTACAATCCTCTTCATTACAACAGACCTTGAAGCATCAGTATCAAGTTAGCATTCCTTGTACTATTTTCTATATGCTTTTCAACTCTTACTTACCAACTCATGCCAGAACAATATTTTTCAGAGTTTGCAACTCCCAAGACTGCTTTACATATTATCTTTTTAATGGCTAACACACAAAAAATCCCAGCAGGGTAGGGAGAATAAGGTTTCCAACTCCCATGCATTGAAGCCAACTCACCAAATGAACCATAACAAAAGTTGTAGTCCAATACTATCTGGAAAGGCACAGAAACAATCAGCCAAGCTTTTAAAGTAAATAGTGGGGCCCAGGTTTTAGAACAGCACTGCATCACTTTACATAACGCTCAAAATCACATTAACAGGGCACAGAACATCAGCAAACTCTTCACAACAAACTGATGAGAAGACAAAAGATTATTGGCAGCTATCAACAAGAACATCAAGGAAATCTTAGATACTGAAAAACCTCAGGCCACTAAATCTATCAGTCTTTGGTTCAATAGGTGAGTTTTTGAGTTTTTTGCTACTAGGAAATAATCAAGAAACAGTAACAGTGAGAGGTCCCTCTTACATCTGACTGTTTCCCATTCCCCTCCTAATATTCTCAGTTGCCGAGAATAGGAGCCCAATGTGGCGCAGTCTGCCCTTGTGCCAATAGGACTGCTGACCGAAAGGACGGTGGTTCAAATACAGGGAGTGAGGTGAACTCCCATCTATCAGCTCCAGCTTCCCATGTGGGGACATGAGAAAAGCCTCCCACAGGATGGTAAAACATCTGGGCATCCCCTGGGCAATGTCCTTGCAGATGGCCAATTCTCTCACACCAGAAGCGACTTGTAGTTTCTCAAGTCACTACACACACACACACACACACACACACACAAACAGTTGCTAAGAACATGAGGCTAGAAACTGATTTCTTTAATTGGAAGCAAAACACTAAAACATGTTGTTATAAGGTACAGGATTTATGTTATAATTTAGATGCCCTTAAGAGCAGCAGCAGAAGCCAGAACTTTTAATCAGTTTGATTTTTTTTAAAAAAAACATTATAATTTCATGTATATCCTTCTAACCCTTAACTTCTAAACTGAGAGTTTAGTTTTACCAATATATCAGCAAAACTGAGATATATTTATAAAACTGGTTTTTGTTTTTTCTCTTGTCATGTAAATTTCATGTTTAAAAATAGTACTATGAAACAGTATCAAAATAAAGCAGGAGTGTATTATAGCGTATTACACACTGTGGCACTGTTAACATCTACACTAAATGCCACCTATTGTTGAGAAAAGCAATTTGAGGAAATAAACACACAATGATTAAGCTACCTATTTTAATAATAAGTTGATTTTTCTCTATCACTTATTGTCCTTAGTTTTCTAGTTCATTCTGAAGCCAACAATGGTATGTTTATAAAGTACTTTTATAAATGCTTCTGAGCTATAAAGTTTATTATAGGCATTCATAATGTGTGAATTTCCATAACAAGCCTCTCTTTACAAGAGCTTAGAATTAAATTGCACATTGGGTAAATAAATGGTAGATTTAGTGACCTGCAAACTTACTATATTTGGAAAATCCAAATTTGGTTCTTTTATATGTTAAAATAAGGAAGTGATAAAATACATTCAAATGGCTTTAGATTCAATAAATGTAACAAAGGAACAAAACCTTTCCCACTGACAGCCAAGACTGTGATTAGAATTTCACAAGGATTTCAGAGTGTTTTCTCCCTTGAATATGGATAAGCAGATTTAGGTCACTTTTGCTTAACCTTAAGGAATCAGTGTAGATTTTTGTCTTTCAAAACAATAAAAACATCTCACATTCAATTAGAAAAGAGGTAAGCTTTTAAAATTGTAACCTGAAAAATAATTCAACAATTGAAAGATTCCAATGTTGAAATTCACAAGGTCTTTCACTGTAATGAATATTTTTATATTCTTAAATAATGGGAGCACAAATGAATTGTTTTAATTTGTTAAAAGCAATATTGAATGCCAGGCGAAAGGCAGGTGC